ATTAGAATTAATGTTGGCCCTTCATCTTAATTGAAAATAAATATTGCATGAATCTGATGCCAGCCAATACCACCCTGAATGGATTTTTCTCGCTTTTAACCAGTAGAGTGCACGATAAAAAATGCAACGGTAAAACTTACAGAAACTTTGGAAATAATGATCTAGAAGAACAAATAAACGATGATGATTGAGGCCAGAAATAAACGCAATTAAATTTTGTAAGATATGGAATGTGTGAATCTGTAATGCGGATATCATGTTGAGCACTCACTAAAACAGTTGTCAGCAACTTTGTTACCGGTGACGAGTTTTTCTTGATTCGAGTAGAAAGCTCGCTAATTAACAATCAATTAATCAAAAAGACCGTCAAGAGTGTTGAATCTGGTGAGTTTCTCAGCGAAATGTGCCACAGCTGGCTCTGAACTCTCTCTCTTAACACCTCTGAAGATGCAAGTCACTCGTACTTGCGAAACGTTAGCAAGAAATTATTATACCCCAAAAAACTCGCCAGTTTCCAGCAGCACCGAAAAACCGGTGAGTTTTTCGAGCTTAAACTACCGCAACTGTAAGTCGGCTGGAGGGAATGCATCTCTGAAGATGCAAACCACTCATGCTTGCAAAACGTTGAAACGGCTGAAAACCCGAAAACTCACCAATTTCCAGTGAATCTACCCGACAATTTTTACTGCTTCAACGTCAAGAGTTATTATTTAAAATACGAAATGTGTTCAGCACAACACGCTCATTACACAAGCTCTCCACATGGATTACTGAATGGAAACCGGGTACAAGATGCATTAAGACGAAAACTGGCTAGAACAACGTTCTCGTCGAAAATCCATTAATCTCTTGCAAGCAGGATTTTTATTCGCAGTTGTATCGCCTCGTTCCAATTAACTAATCCCCCAACAAGGAAACATAAACTTTTATCTGGCAAAACTTTGTAATTAATGCATTATAGTTTTTCCAGTCGTAAACTGTTTTACGATCTACCATCTAAACGATCAGTCGACTTTCCGCGCTCAAAAACTAGAGAAGACTTTTTAAAATGCTAAATCGTAAAACTGGCCGTGTTAGTGCGGCATCGGGCATCGTTAATAGTTATTGTGCACTTATTAAAACACTGAGCTGTAACTTTCAGGTTACTGTTCAATAATGCCTTTTAGTGCAGTTCACTTCAATCGTAAAAGGGGTGCATTTGGGGCCTTTTAAAATGTCATAAAAGACATCTCGCTTTGAGAAAAGTTCACCCAAATTGAATTCCGCGTCGCAGCAATAAAAATATACGAGGCAAAAATTGAACTTTTACTTATTTGGTGGAAGTTATCAGTTTCGCCTGAAAGTCCCCTTTTTTCCTAGCAAACAATTTTTCGGATTTCAACTTTAGAGTTTGCTTTAGAAACTCGCAAAGTTTATAATCCCTGGGAAAGAACTAGACTTCCTTGAAGAAAATTCGATTGGACAAACACGTTTTCTAAAACCCATTTGCTGTAGAAATATTCCATACTTTAAATGCAAATGAAAAATCCTAGACTTGAATGAAAATTGCAAACTTTTTTCAATTAACTAAAACAATCGGCCTGTAAAAGGTCAACTCATTGAATGCGAATAGGACAATCAAATCAACTTAAAAGAGAAAAAGAGGTTTTTATGAAGGTCGGCTTTCTGTTGCCAAATCGAATCGAGCAAATGTAATATCGAAAATAGGAAGAATTTGCCTTTGAAACGAAGGCAGCATTTCAAATTACATGAACCGAGCTGGTTGCCATCTAATACTCTTCCAGGTATCTAGTCAATAATATTCTGGCTCCTCATTTTCCAGGCTTCTCAATATCAAATTCCCTGAAAGGCTATATTTTCGTTATATTTAGGAGGCTGAAAAGCCGTTTTATCATTTCGGACCAAACAGGGTGTCATCCCTAATAGATATACATTGAGAACCGATTTATTCCGATCGGGGCAAAGGTCTTGTATGTTTACCGATCCTTTTTTGAATTATTTAGAAACTTATTCAATTTACCTACTGAAGGAAAAAGGAACCAACACCTTTTTCTGGAAAACTGCGAAACTGATTCATAAATTTCTACCAGATACCAGATAAATTGAGGATTAGATTGGTATTATTGAATTACTGAATTCATTCACCCAGTATGCTTACAAAGTAATATTCGATTTGTTTTTAGTGCTGTAATGCGGTTAATTCAATTTTCACATTGACGAGGCATCAAAACGACGGTTCTATATTTAGTATGTCGACAATGTATGCGATCGACGTGATAATTATGATCCGAACAGGGTCATTAAGTTGATTAACAAGAGAAATTGATTGAGCATTTCGCTGGCGTTGCATAACTTATTAATTGTACAAGAAGAGGAAAAAAGAGACAAACGCACCTAGCAAACAATGGAAATGTTAACAGCAAAGTGTAAAATGCTTCCCAATTTTATCTCTCACTCTTCTCGAAATGGAAGAGTGGAATTTTTATTTAAATACCGTTCATTTATCCAAGGTGCCAAATTCAGACATAGTTTATAGCCCGATTTAAATTGCTAAAGTAAATTTATATCCAGCGTTGTTATTTCCGGATGAAAAATAAAAAAAGGGAGAAAAAGGTAACGTATCCCGATAACGGACGCCTATATAATATCAGATAACGCGTATATTTTAGCACCGAATAAACTGCGAGAGCAAATGACGCCGATATACAACGTTATAAAGAGTGGTTAAACGAAATGACCATCAGCATCAGTCCGGGCCTCAATAAAAATAATATAAAGTCTGCAATAACTGAACTGTTGGCTTCGTGCTATTTTATTTAATTAAAGCGGTTTACGACCCGCGAAAGATAATGCACATTTTTGTGAACTGGAAATAGCAAAAGCCTTTTTGATGAGGAATCATCGTGAAAGCCCTCTCTGGACTGATCAGCGATTTACTAATTATTCCGTATTCGAAACCCATTGAACATTTTACTGGTGTCGCTTTGATAATTTGGCAACTTTTATTAGGTATAAAATTATTGCTTTCGACGATTTTCCAACCTTCAATAAAATGCCCCATCGGACCGGTAAATCCAATTTTCACGGTGTCACTTGAAATTAAACCGCCCGCCCCATTTTTAAACGATAAAAATATCGTTTCGGACGATTTTCACGTATTTTATCGATTCCCTATGTTGTTGCTGACGATTATTGTCAGGAATTAATTTTGCGGGGGTGGGCCCGTTGCCTAGAGCCCGCTTGATATTCACAAAACCGAATAAAGCTCTTTAACTAGATTATAACAACATTTACAAAACGAACACAAAGTGATTAATTAACCACAAACAATAGTGATGCGCTATTATTACTGGGGGTTATATTTGCCAAATCTAGCACCAAATATTCCGCTTTATACAAGTATAGGAGCAACTTAGACGATAGCAGTTAGTCAATAGATCTTCAGTTAAATCCATCAGAAAAACCACTAGAAACTGTAGTTATACGGTACCTTTTGCGCGAACCGAAAGATGTTATTTGTCTTCCACGAAACGCGAAATATCACCCTTTATGTAGGTTTCATGGCAAGGTGTGCCCCTTATTAATCCTGACAGAGTGCGCCGTAACTCCTTCAGCAACTCTGCCACGTCTGCGGAAGGAGACGGACAAATTTTCGAATGAATGAAATGACTGAAGACTCACTTGAAACACAATTTTGCAGGAATTATTGTATAGAATTCGGCAAAACGCAACAAAGTTGAAATTCAAAACGGGTTTGATGCATCTTTTAAAATACCCGTTGAACGAACGAAACGAATGAAAATGAATATTTGCCTCATACTAAATGCGATAACGACGCATCCAGAAGGATGCAAACGTCCGATACGCACGTAGGTGCGTTATCTCATCTAAAACAAGGAAAAATTCATTTTCTTTCGTTCCGTGCGTCGGATGCGAACAAGAACGCGCTTTCCATACAGTGGAGACAAGGTAAGTGCGGCTACAGTTTGCTACGGTTGGCTACTGAAATTTGGGATCATTTAAACTAAAAATTAATGTTAATTCGTTCCGTCGATAAACTAAAGTATGCAAGCGTGCAATGCGTATGTTTATACGTTACCTTATTTAAAATATAAACATTTAAATGACGACTAAATGCACATACATTGTACGTAAGTATCGGACGCACTTTTAACTTTAAGCAAAGTTGTACCTACTATTAAGCTGTTGTCCATTTAGACCATTACCATCGCCGGAAAGTCTTCAGAACAGTGAGAAACAGTCCAAAACGATCTTCAATATCCCGATAAGCAACTTAAAGTAAAAATGTTTGTTGTGATTGCTAATCTGACATTGAAAGGCGACAGCAAACGTCAGAAAATGTCCGAAGTAATTGCGTGAAGTTTCACCAAAAAAAAAACACTTCCAACCGGGAAAATGGCCCCAAACAATGCACAAAACCGTTCTTTTCCAGAAAATCACCACTTTCCGCAAAATACCCGAAATAACATGAAACAATCAAAAATCGTACGGAGCAAGTCGCACTGACTAATTTGACATAATGACAGGAATTGCCGCCAGTTTCAAATATTCAATGCTTTAAAGCTTCACCGTCACTTTGTCGCTATAAATAATAAAAAATCTAATGTTTACCACTTTTTCACAGTTTTTCACTTCTCTCTCAAAAAATATGATATGACGGTCAAAAGGGTGCTTAACAGCTGGGAAAAGTTACTCAAGAGCGCCACTTCTGCACAGACGGATAATTGAAACCTCTTAAGGAATCTTCACCGTGAAAAAGAACTCTTGGAATAAAAAGACAAAGGGAACGGATGAACTCGCCAACTATAATGCGCTTTCCATATAGTAGTTGGGCTATTTTTATCCGCGCTTTAAAAATAACGAATTTGGTATCTATATGGCATAGGATTTTTACTTATTAACAACAGAAAACAGTTTTAATTGATTTTTCACACTATTGTTTCGCCAACTAAATAATAAACATTTAAACAGCCACTTACCCAACTTGGATGGTCTCGAAAAGGCGTCTGAAACAAAAAGAAAACTTCCCATATCATTTGTTTTCCCGTTTTGTTACTTTCGGGGTGCCAGTTAGCGGGCAGAAACGCTCAAATATATTGATATCGCCCTATTTGCATAACGCCCCACCGGGGTGAAAACCACCCGGCCTATTTGCTTATCAGAATCTCTCTAGGGAGCGTCGGGAAAAATAGCTCGACAAATAATATGTTCCATATAAAATGCGTACGAGGAAAGGAGCGAATGTTTCTGGGTGTTATTCGACACGCACAAATAAAACTTTTTCAATCATCCCTTCCTGATAGCGTTTTAAGATTGATCAGTTGCTGTAGGAACTATAAAACGTTTTTTCTGTGTTTATGCGCAAAACAAAAAATAAAATATTAAAAAAACCGAATACCTTTAGGACTCGAAACAGATCCAGCGTTGGTGATGTTTGCAGCAAGAAAAAGTGGATCTCAAGAATTCCCAGTTGTTTTCCGCAGATTACATAGAGAAGAAGGAAAAAAACGAATTACGGAAGACCGGCGGCGCCACGCAACAAATATGCATTTGCAGGAGACACGGCAGGGCAACGACTGACCATCAGCAGCATGCAGACTACCTTGAGACATTCTTTGCGGGTGCACGTTACCTGCACAATAAAAATTAATGCGACCATCACCGTCATCTTCTCGATTCATTTCTTCGCCGTTTTACTACCATCAACCTAAACGGGAATCAGAAGCAGTTGAATATTTTGCACATGTTTACTAACTTGTTGCCACTAGAGGTACTTCTTAAGAGGCGTAAAAATGTAGCACTTTCTATGAAAAATTTTGAAAATTTTCTAATCATTAATGGAATTCTGTGTTAAAACAAAGCTTGCAAAAGATAAACCGAAAAATCCAAAATATTGCAACAATTTATAAACGAGAAACAACACGTAGAAAATTATTTTTATTGTGTTCTTTGAATTGTGTTATGTATTTATTATTTTAATTGGGGCCTTAAAGAAGTATATACATTTTTCAGTAACTTGATGAAAAGCTATCTGACAATATGTTGACTATATGTTCCACTTTTATTAAATTTTAAACATTTGGCAGGCAGCAAGAAAGGTCCAACTGGTCGGAAAAAATATAAAAATATTACGAAATTGATGACAGCACGAATCAACTTCCATTGAGACCGAAATAGCAAAATACCAGGGTTCGAATATCGATTAACAGCGAAAACATTCAACAAGTTTCCCCAGGGTAAATTTCCGAATAATTAAATGAAATCGTCGATAGTAAAAGACTAGCCTAATATTTTTACTCGCTACAAAAACCCTTTCAATTTTACCGTCTTCGATGTTTCAGCGTTTGTCAGTCTTTCCTTTATAGCTTACTAAAAGGGGTTTATTTTTATTCACCGGCTTCATATTGCTGTTATTGACTCCACTCTTCTGAAGTGCAAAAAGGAAAAATTATTTTGTAAGTAGCTTTCGAAGCTGGAAGTCGCAATTTATGCTTTATGCTCAAGCCAAAGGTCGACAAAGTTTCGAATAGAAAACCACTCGAAACTGATTATTTTTTGGGGCTTTTATGTTAAAGCCCCAAATGTAGCATCTTTATCTAGCAGATTTAACAGCTTCATTCCTGCTGCTCCTCAATAATTGTAAATTCATTGACATCGCGTCCCATATGGAACATAACATTGTCGACCCATAAAAAAGGCTTTCCGATTTTACGTGTCCGAACGTTTCGGTGGTGAATTTTGTGTCTGTTTATTGAGTCTCGGGGGCATATTTCGGATGCTACGGGGCGAATACATAACGAGTCGTCCGACAATAAAACGTTTTCCTGAAAAATCGAACAGAGGCGACTTGTACTGTATGGATTTGACTTGAATGCTCAACCAAAACTGCCCTTCACGCTGACAAAACGGTTTCATTTTGGGAACTAGGAAAATACCTGGAAAACTGTTGTAGATCCAGGCAAAATGCGGTTCACGTGGGTCGCTGAGCGCGTCCAAGTGACAAATAAATTTCAATCTCCTGCCACGATTTAAGGAAGATTTGTTGAATGCCTGCAGCCACATATATTCCTGTTAATTATTAACACGTCCCGAGCATGAAGACGTTTACTCCTGGATCAAAATTTCATGTTTTTCCCTGTTGTTCACAAATCTCAGGTATTTGCGGTCATTTTCCTCTTTTGTTTAGTACAAAGTGCCCGAAATATTCTTTTTGGCATTTGCTCTTTTGCATACCAGCTTCGGGCCAAATACGTATTATTCCATCCGTCGGGGCTGATTAAAATTCTATTTCCTACTAGATGGAAAATAGACTGCGGAAAGTTATGTAAATGTTGCCGGTGTTGATACGCCATGCATCGGGTATTTTGGACTTGCGATTTCCATCCATCATCTCCAAGCTAAAACCCGATTTACAATCGCTTTTCCAATTTCCACGCTCTCCCACAAACAGTGCCTTCTTTTCAACAAAGCCGCGCTAAAATCGCATTTATACCTATACGAGGCACACAAAATGAAAAACCAATCATTGGAACTGGCAAGGAATACAGGTAAAGTGGAATTAGCAACCGATTATTGGTGTTAATTGCTTTGTTTTCGTACCTCGTTTGCGCTGTTTTATTCGTTTTTGGACAAACATTGATTGATCATGTTTTTTGAAGAAAACGAGGAATATCTTTGAAACTCGCTTCAGATCTAAAACACAGTGAAGCAACATTTAAGTCCAAAAACAAAAATCAGGCTTCCAAAAATTTATATTCGGCTTCTTTAGTACATAGTAGTAAATTTCCTTTATTACCGTCGGGTAGCATGGTAATATTAATAATTACTTAAGTCCCTATTATTTCATCCGGGACAGCACGCAACATTCGTGGAACACTATTTGATAAGGCAATTGACAGGGGTTATTACTCGCCAGGAATTTGCTGGTGTTGTGGGAATGTAATTAAATTGTTATAGATTCCGTACAAAAAACCACCCCCATTCTCAGGCACTTTCACAAGTGTCTAAGGATCAGGTTTGCATTTTGCCGCCTCCCCCCAAACGTGTTCGTTATTAGTAAACAAACTTTTAACACTTTGGTAGCTCTAACCAAATACCAACCCGAAAGTTCGCGCTAGTGGGAGAAGGTGCAACAGTTTACAACTTCGCTAAGGATAAGTAATAGTTAGTCCGCTTATGAAGTTGCAAGTTGCTTAAGGGCCCCAAGTTTGAAACCGTAACAATCAACATTGAGTCGAAGTTGTTTTTGTGCGTTTAGAAGATTCACATGAAACAAACAAGACAGAATCAACAGAATTAATTAAACGGATCTACTTTAGATAATAAAAATGCTTTAAAGAAGTGAAGAGTTTCACAAATCTAATACATTTCAGAGTCCCAGAAGAGTAGACGTAGTTGTTTTGCAATATCTCGAACTTACGCTTTGGATAACTGGAGGCACTAACTTTCAATACTTTTGTCAAACAGCAATTTTTTGCTTCTTATACGCGCTTTTTGAGATCATTTTTGTTGATTTTCACATACGGATCTTGTTAAGTGACAACTGGTTCCCATTTTGTGTACATTTGAGAAAAAGATGTTGTTTAGACCCGTTGCTAGGAAGTGGACGATTTGGATTGGTTCGTTTGAAATCAGCGACATGTTGAATTTTCTTGATTTTGACTTTGATGGTGACAATTTCCGGTTGTCTGGTTGCCATAGGAACGGAAGTTGATGTTAGTTCACAAACGTCACGCGCCAAATTCAAATTCTTCAAAACTGCACAAAAAAAGAATATCGGAAAAAAATCCTTCTATGTCAGATTCTATTTCTAGGGCCTAAAATTGTCTTTTGGTGTCAAAAATTAAAATTCAGGTAGTGCTTCACCCAATTTCAGGTACTGGCAGCTGAAAAGCCTCATATCTCGAAAACCGTTAAAAATATCGGATCAATCGTAATAACCTTTCCGATAGCTCGCCTCGGAAGAGCTTTCTTTGATCGGAAATTCCTAACCTCTAAGGAGATAGAAGCAAAAGAAGGAAACCCAAATTTAGATGTTTAAGAGCCTATATCTCGGAAACCGTTGAAAAAGCTAAATAATCATTAGGACCTTTTCGATAGAGCATCTCAAACATTTTCGTAGTCAGCTTTACACGAAATTCGTCACCGTTTCGTAGGTAGAAGCAAAAATTTCAAAATTTCAGCGTAAGCTGGATGAGGAATTAATAAATCGAAAAACCGTTTCGGACTTGCTGTCCTTGCCTTATCAGGTTTTTTGACAACATGCTAACCTCCGCAAAACACGCATAAAATGTAAAAAAACGTTGAAATAATCTCAACATTGCCAGCATTCAATGCAGTCATGCTCTCAACGCCCACATAGCTGAAAAATTACTCAAAAACACTCGGAAAACTCAATGTTAGGGTATAAACCATAAATCAGGCAAATGGGTGGTGTGTTAATAATGTGTACAGGGCATTTTTTGCCAAATCTTTTTTTTGTTTAACCTTCATTGTGCAAACGGAATAAAATGTGCCGTCTGTAGCCGCAAAGGCCCGTGCTCGGTAAGAACAACAAACAAGAAATAAAATAAGGGTTTAATTAACATAAATGGGGGTTAAAGCGAAAGGTGGATAAAACATATCGTCGGTTAAACCTTTGACATTCGAATCGGATGTTAAGCAAATGGCCTTTGTGGCGTTTGTTTGCAGTGAAATTTGCACAGTTCATTTATTGCTTACGGTTCGATTAAGGAGCGAATTTGGCAATTTTTTCTTCTAAATGTGCAAACGCCCGACTTTTAATAGAGTTTTTAGCCTCAAACTCGAATACCGCAAAATTTGAAAGTTTATAGCCGATAGGTAATTGTATACTAAAACAGAAGGATCAAGGCTCTAAGCGAGTTATGGAATGTCGGAAAAACGTCGAGCTCACACTGGGACACGCCGAATTATCCCATAAAAGCCATTTTAAAATTCTGCTGTCAATTAACCTTTGCCTTTTTATTTTCAAATAAAGTTTCCGTCCCCAGTTCCGGCCAGAAACGTGCTCAGGACTTAATAGAACCTCGAATGTCATTTGATAAATTGAGTTTTACTTTTAAGGCATTTCTAAGCAATTAAGGTAAAATAACAGGTTTTGAAAGACATCATTTCGTACAGTCGTTCTATAATTGAAAGTAGAGAATTTTCTACCGATTCTCCTCAAAAAAACACCCTATTAAATAATTGCCTATTGATTTTGCACTTTCCCTTGTTCAAAAATCCGCTTTCAAGTTGACTAATTGGGAACTTTTAATGAGAAATTTCGACTCAAAGTGAGCGCAAAGAATTGAAAAACGCTCGAGACTTTTAAATGCAAAATAGCGAACTGAAAACGAAAATCTAATCTGCAGGCAAATGCAAAATTCATGTTCTCATCTGACTGTTCTCAAAGTATAATTTCCGTCAAAGACGGTAATTTATTGCTGAATAGTATGGTAGCTGTTAGCAAATACATTTTCTTGTTGCGAACAGACAATCGGATCGTTTATAGTTGAAAAGACACTGGCGCAAAGGATGAGGAAGGAGGATGCATCCGTTCGTGCCAGGAAACCGCACCCATAGACAGTGCCTGGAATTGCCCCATTGTATGGAATAATATGTTCACGTGAAACTCTATTTCCAGGCACAACATGTTCCAGAGCGAACAATTATTTATTAATCTTGCGGAGAAAAAGTTCAATTTCGCTTGAGAAAGAATTGCAAAATCGCGTTTGTGGAACTGCAAAACGGTTTTTGCCTGATGCTCTACCGAACATACAGATAACAGAGCGGACCTAAATTGTTTTATTTTCAAAATCTGGCTTCTCTCCATCTTCCTAAGAATGCTTGATGGTTAGTTCAACCAATTTTTATCCGCGAAATATTTGTTTTCAATGACACCGCTGTTGAAACTGATCACTAATATTGATGATTTGGTAGAAGACAATATTAAGATCAAAGATCAATCAAAACATTTTCTGGTTTATTTTCCCGTGCTCTCAAGTAGTTTAACAACAAGACAACGAGTGTCTGGTATTAATGAGAAAAGACAAGTTTCTAGATGTTCTAAATCGGGCTTGGGAAATTTTTCAAAACCAGCCTGCCTGAGAATTTTAGTTCGCCCAGTGAAAGTTTGTTACTCCAAAAAAAATCTGCCTGCGGTCGGTTCTTCTTGATTTTTTGATCAATTCAAGTGTTTTAAAAAACTAGACTCAAAGACGAGTCTCTATCTACTCTTCTGGAAGTGAGAAATATTTTTCAATCAGTTTGTTTGAGTCCGCTCAATCCGCACTTTAGTCCGCTTCAAACATATTTTTGTTGGCTTCTGGAAAACTCTACTGCTTCCTGTTTTGCTTGAATTTTCCACCAATTCAACATTCAAGTTTCTTCTATAGGTGGACAAAGAGACGAATGTCTACCGCTTCCAGTTTAGACGTAAGACGTTTAATAACTTCTGGATACTTTTCCTGTCGTCTGTTTTTTAACCCTCTAAAATCTTCTATAGCATAACCGAGACGAGTTTCTACCAGTTTCACTTTTATTAAGCTGACGTTATGCACATTAATTTAAAAAATATATAATTTAATTATTCGTAAGACTGATTTTTTTTGAAGTTTTTGGCAAAATCTTCACGCCCATCAGTTAAATGTGAAACTAAACCGCAAAAGAACACACTTATTGTCTAATCCATGAATTGGCTGCAAAGAAAGTGAGATTTCTACCTAATATGAGCTGAGAAAATTGTTAGAGCGTTGATTACTTATGCAGATACATAAAAAATGTCAATCTTCGTTTCTTCGTTTGATCGGGCCATTAAATAAAAAAACCTCATCAATGCCGCAAATAAAAGACCCGGCAAAAATCTGTCCACAGTGTCTTTCGCCAGTTCTTTGATGATTTGCCAAAGTAAACGGCACTCATAATAAAAATTTTCTTTTATCAAGTGAAAGAAAAACATATTTTTTGCCAAACTCTCGAGCTATATGCACGCGAATTTCATCCAGATGCTGCTGTATGGACGGTTTCTCGACAATCAACCACATTACCAACAACAGTTTTTGATTTGTGGACATTTTGCGATCAAAATTAGATTTCGTATTATTTGCATTGGATTCGTGCCGGATTTATGTGAATTTTCCCGAAAATGTACGTATTGAATGCGAATATCCAAGCACAGACCGAAACTGTTCGATACCAAAATTTGCAAAAACCAAATCACTTAGTTCTAGAAACGATTTTTTGCGGCCTTTAAAGTAGGCCTGGGTAACACTGTGTTGAGTTGTTGCCGCTCTCTGAAGTAACGAGTTATAACTCTTCGGTAAATGTGTTATAATTAATTTGTTAAAGCTTTACGAGACCCGCGACTGGAATTTTCACGCCTATAAAAGGTTTATTAATATTTTTTCGGAGAAACGTTTTTCTACATTTTTCAAACAACTCGGGGAAATACAGATTTTCCAAGCAACAATTGAGTCCAAAGAAAATCGACGAGTTTTCTTATAAAATCGATCTTCATTTTTTGCATAAAAGATTCAGTTTGCCAGTATTTTACAGTAAAACGTTAGGAAAAACGCTGTTTTCTGTTTAGAGACAGTGTTGTTTAGAAATACGGACCTAAAAGTGAAGAAACTCCAGTTTCCAAGAGTTTTCCAAATAAATGATTATAAACTTTCGCTTTTTCAGTTCGGGGAAATATTTTTGGAAAAAGGCCTAGAAATAATTAGTAGGATTTTGTCCATAATTCGAATCTGTAGAAAGTTTGCCAAACATTTTTGCAAAGCGGTTAAGGAGGCGAGTGTTCCAAAAAAATTTATCTTACAATTTTTTTACCTGAAGATACCTGAAGATTGTCAGTATTTTAACTAAATAATAATGCGATTTTTGCGTAGAAAGAATTGCTTAATAGAAACTTTGTTAAAACTAGGATGACCTGAAAATTTAAAGAAACTTTAAAAATCTTCAGAGCGACGAGGGAGGCGAATTTTTCCAATAATTTTTTGTAAACTTTTGCTCCCTGGTCGTTTTTTTAAGATAGTCCTAATTACTTTCGGTAAAAAACTAAATAAAACTATTTGGTTTTTGGGCCAAATTCGAAGTTGAAAAAGATTTTCTAAAGTTCCCTGCAAACCGATGAATGATGCGAAGTTTCTAGCAAAATTAATTTTGTAATTTTTGGCTGAAAAGACCCCATTATTGTCAAAAAAGAAGAAAATCATCAGAAAATAATGCTTTTTTTGCGTTTTCGATTAAAAACTTTTAGTTTTGTGATCCGTTTTGGAGAAAACCTTAATGGTTTTCGGGAAAAACGGTAAGAATTTATTTTTTTGTCGCTAATTTGAAACTGAAAAAGTTTTTGTAAATTTTTACAAAGCTATAAATTTATCTTGTAATTTTTCGCGTAAAAGTCTTCCAGACCGTCAGTATTTTTAAGTGAAGTTCTACAAAATAGAGCGTTTTTGACTAGAAAGCAAAGCAAAAAAAATTCAGTCAAAACTAAAAACCACATTTTTTAACAAATTCTACAGGAATGGAGGTGACGGGATATCCAAATAATTTGTTATAAACTTTCGCTTATTCTGTTCGTTTTTTGATAGAAAATTGTTGATTTTTGTGCCAAATTCGAAGCTGGAAAGGGATTTCAAAACTTTTTACAAAGCGACGAAGGATTCGAAATTTATTTCATAATTTTTCGCGGAAAATACCTTAGATTGTCAGCATTTTTAAGTGAAACTTTAGAAAATTGAGCATTTAGAAGAAAGAGTAAATTGGCTAAAACTGTAAAATTCTGAAATTTGAAGACATCTGAAAAATACTATTAATAAATTGATTTTAAAATAAATCTAAAAAACTAAAAAAGTCATCAACATTTTCCCAGCAACGGATCTGACTTACTGCGCCGGTGCGTTGGGTTGGCGCACCAAGCCATTTGCGCAGCACTGCGCCAACTCCTAAAAATTCACTGAGTTACCCAGGCCTACTTTAAAGGCCAGATTTAGCGTCTTCAGTCA